AATAATAATAAACAAAACAAAACAAAACAAAATCTCCCTTGAAACACAGATACTGTTTCTTAGGGAACTTTTCATGTCAGGCAGCTTTTTGCTGCAACACTAGACTCATGACCAAAAAAGGGCTGAATTTGTTTTTAGAAGAAAAAAATGTCTATTTAGTACCTCTCAGAGGGCTTGGATGATGAGGCCACCCTGCCTGCCCAAGCCCCATGGCTGCCAGCATTCTAGGTTGTTTTACAGGACTGGAGACTGGGAGTGTGTGCCAATCTCTTAGAGAAGAACACCCCGCCTGCCCTGAAAGGTTCTGACAACCCCAACACTGACTATTTCAATATCCAGGCTTTCAGAGCTCTTTGTTGCCATGAGCCTACCAGATGCCAACTATGATGGGGTAGGAATGACAGGCTTTAGGGGCCAGATCCGTGGCTGGGGGTGAGGGTGTCTGCTTCACACTGCAGCTAGGCTCTGACATGCAGCCTGCTCCTAAATGCTTGGGAGGTTCTTTCCCTATGTGACTGTAGAGGAAGAGGCCAAGAAGTTGGGGAAATGCTCCATGGCAACACTGGGAACAGTGAAGACGACAGGAGGGCTCCAGGTGTTTGAGAGTCAGCTTTGGCTGATGAAATAACCCCTGGATGATGGAGTCTCATCAGCTGCCAGAGAGGTGGCTGAGGGACAGCCTCACTGAGCCATCAGGCCACAGTGGCCTTTAAAGCCCCCATCCCTCACGTGGGAAAGCTCTAGATGGTAGAACGTTCTTCCTGAATAAGACCCTCTCTGGGCTATCATTGCAAGGCCCAGAAGGGAAACAGTTAGGATCCAGAGTTAGGAGGGGATGGAAAGAGAAAACATACTTGTGATGGGATCTTGCACACGAACAGCACCACATGTATGCGTGTGCAAGGGGAGATTGTCATCACCCTCCAGGGGATGCCACCCACCCAGAGAACCCCAGATGACCAGGGAGGCTGGGTGGGATAGCCAAGCAGTCTTTTACACAGGAGACCTGGGCGGCGGGCCAGGCAGGCAGCCTTCCCGGAGGCGGGACTAGGCGTGTGCTGCTGGACATGACTAATCCACCCGGGGGGAACAGGCCCAGGGCTCTGAGGAATTCCATAACTTGATGGAGTCCTGTCCCTTTCACAGAAGAAAATGGACTTAAGCTATAGCTTGCTGGGAAGGAATCTGGAACTGAAGACCGTTTTATTAAGAGTCCGTGTCCAATGATTAGGCAGGACCTACATAGAGGGAGAGAGAAACCAGTGTGAGAGAAATGGTGTGGAATGTACCATTCAAGTCACAAGAACAGAAGAACTGTAGACTGAGCCAGCCTCCTGTGCCCTGTTCCTTAACAGGACACAAGAGAATGGCACAGGAGACTAGGAGGCCTGCCCCTGCCTGGTCAGTCAAGGGTGGAGACAGTCCCATCTTCCCCAAGAAGGGCCACAAATCCAGCATATGTGGATGTCTCCAAACCCCTGCACCTGTTTATGCTTTTGGACAGAACTACTTCTAGTAACAAGTTCATATGCACCCTGAGAGCACGTTACCATTGCATTTATCTAAAGATTCCTTTAAATCTCAGAGGCACCCCTGCCAGCCCTATTTCTGTCAGTCCTGAAAACCAGCCTGGTGTAACCCTTGGTGTATGAGTTTATGCCCTTCAGGGTTGTTTTCCTACACTCCTCTATTTAAGGGGGTTTCTGGTCCTCAGGGCTTAGGCTAAAGTACAGTAAAAGCTCCAAGAAAAAGTCTCTGGGATATAGAACCTCAACCAATGGCCTCATCTGAGTTCCTACAAACCCCAACAAAACAGATACACACATTGTTTAAAAACAAACAAAAAAATAAGGCCAATGAAGAAAATCTTATTTCTTGTCTAGGTCATCTAATGTGATTCCACTTAACAGGGAAGGGGTATGGGGTTCATTCCCACCCACAGGGCAGAGCAGATTCCTCTGCTGAGTCTCAGATGCAGCCAGCACTCCTCTCCCAGCTCTCCAAGTGGATGCATGGGAAAAGCCCGCCTACTGCTGGCTTTGCTCTAGACATTCCACAAGCTGCTCCCGCCCATCCATGAGCCCAAGAAGCCCACCAGCTGCAACCCCTGTCTGTGCGACAGGTCACCTAGTTTCTTCCTACTCCCAGTCTACCCTCACGAGGTCTCCTCCCTCACCAACACCCTCCCCCGCCCCCGGGAAAGTGTTGTACCCTCGGAGGGGGCAGCAGCCAAGTCCCAAGATGGGACTGAGATCAAGACCTTCAAGGACCCTGGGGGTTTGAAGCTGAGGCTGGATGTCTGGGAAGTTAGGCTCCATGGCCTCACTGCAATTTCCAGTGCAACTCTTTCCAAAACACCAAGCATTCCTTCCCCCCAGAGCTATTAAGAAACACCCACATGTTCCAATCCTGGGAAAAAAGAAACCAGGAGACTAAAATAGCTGGAGTGTGCTCCCACTACAACTACAAGACCAGGTCCAAATCCAAGAGGATTATCCCTCATATCTTCAACCTGGTCCCAGCCCAAGTAGCTGGGGACAAGGGTGGTGGGAAGTGTTCCTGAGAGGGGCATGAGTTGGGAGTCCATGCCCACCCAGTAAAACGTGTGGGTGGGATTTGGGAAGAGGCTGGAGTCAACAATGTGATAGTGTAAAAGGTGGAAGGACTCCTAGGACACCCTTGGTTCCCACAAGATCCATCTCTGCCCACCTCTGATTGCCCAGGGAGGTCTACAGGGGGATGCTATGGGCTGGAGGGAGGTGGCACTTGCACCCTATTTGATTCTCCCCATCCCAATATTGAACTCAGAGCAGAATCAAGGTTTAGTCAGAATCCAAGCACAAGGAAAAACTAAAACCAAAGCGGGTTCAAAGATGTGGGACTGGGCCACCAAACTTTGTACCACTGGGCAGGGGAAGGAACCTGGTAGCATGGGACCAAGGTAGGTAATACAATCATTCTCCTGAGTCTGTGGGTGTACCTCCTCCCTTACTGCTTCTCCCAATCAGTCATTGGTGGCATCTTTGTGGACAGCAGCTAGAAAAGAGGTTCCACTTAACCACCCCCAGGCCTCTTTTTAGCGTCTCTGTTCAGTTTCCTTTTGGTGAGTCTTAAAGGGCCATGTCCACAGAACTGAACCCTTAGTACAGTGATAGGAATTTCAGTTCCCATTCGAATGGAAACGCAAGAAAAGGAATGCAAACAGAACTATGCCCTCAAGACAAAGGGAATACCTTCAATAACTCCCACCCTGCCCCATCCAACATCTTTTCTTTTAGGACTGCCCATCCTGGTCACAGAAATCAAGGTTACCTGACTCTCTGAACCCAGCAACTGCTGGGGGAGCCCCTGGGGTAGCCTGTGCAGTTTCCAGGGCAGGGCAGGGTAGTGGACGGTCAATTCAGAGGTACAGGGCACAAACCATAGGGCAGGTCTCTCCCAACAGAAGCACCCAGCTGTACCCACAACAGAGTTCTCCAGTGTACACAGCAAAGGAAAAGCCAGGATCACGAAGACAAAAGGAAGTCACACAAAACTTGAGGTGGGAAGGGTGCCCAAGAAGAGGAACACGGCCAGAGGCAACTGAACACACTGTGAGGGCCAGACTGCAGGAGCCTGGGAGCCTGCAGACCGGCAGCCCTGCGACTGTAAATCTCACTCTGCTTTCCGCCACGACAGCTGTTCCCAGGACTCTCAGATTACTTGTTTCACAATCTTTCCACTTTCTTTAAAAGGGGGAAAAATGTGAAAAAGTAAAGAAAACAATCTCCGCAGCAAAACTGCTGGAAATGTCATGGCTGCTCCACACCAGGCAAGTGGAGGGGTACCCCTGAAGAAATGCCTGGGGGTCAGGTCAGAAATAAAGGCGGTGGTGAAGACATCAAGATGTGCCGCATCAGAATAAAAGCAATGGCCACCCCTGCCCCATGCACTTTTAACTGTAAGGTACCCTACCAAAAGTTCAGCCTTTGGAGTTCTTTTTCGGTGGCTCGGAGCCTAACCAGAAAAGGCTGCAAAACTCTTGAGTAGAAGTAGTCTACTAGAAAATTTAAAAAGTACAAAAACCCAGAGCCAAGGCAGACCCAAGACATTGTTGGAACCAAAAGTGAAAAGTCAGGGGCCACTAGGAATGCTAATTAAACCTAAGAATACAGCCATTCACAGAATACAGGCCACTGAATGTAGTGGGCTAAGGTTTCTGGCCAGCCCTTTCTGCAAAAGCATGGTGCATGGTGCCCCCTATTGGCTGATAAAAATTAAAATACAATAAGGATGGAGTTGATTTGCAAGAGAGTTAAAGGATGATGGCAGGAAGCTAACATATCACCTATAGTAGTCTCTGCATACAGCAGGAGTTTCTTAACTACCAGAACAGTTTACTGAATTTCATCTCACTCAGGTCCACTGAAAACAAGTTAGTCCAGAGCACTGAGAGGCCCTTAGCTCATTCAATGCTTTACTGTAAAAGTGATGAATAAGGTTCAGCTCATCAGTCACTCCCCCAAAGAGGTCCATGTGCATTCCTGCTCCAGAGTTGTATAAGGGACCCTTCAGTGTTGCTTGGCACCAGGTTCCAGCATTTACATGAACTGATGAAGTGGGGCTTATTGATTATTTCCAGTTACAATCAAATACCAGTGATGAGACAGGTCCATGAACAAACTAGGAGACTTTGTGGCCCCAAACATGTCTCCCATGGGGATCTGCTCAATGAAGCCTCCCTGATGGGGTATGCCTAAGGCCCTAGAGAGCTGCTCTTGGTGTAGAGCTAGACCTGTTGAGGGACAACTAGGCTCTCCCTAGTTGTCTCACAGCAGAGGTTGGTTCCCAGGCTTCTTTCTTCCCTAGCCTCTCCTCTGGGCCAGTCTGAGCACCTGCTCCCCTGGGAATAATCAGGAAAACATACACTTGGAGGAAAGAAAGGTGGGTGATGGGCTCTGTCTAGCCACCAAGGGCAGGAATAGTGGAGATGGCCAGTGGTGTATGGGAGAAGGGGCTGTTAGAGGCACAGGACAGGTGTGTTAGGAGCAGCGAGCACAGTAGGTAGGGAGGGCTGTGAGCAGGCTGGTGGTGGGGGCTGCAGCTTGTAAGCAGCACCACAAACACTGGAGCCCTGCCAAGCATGTCCCTAGAAAGGCCACACTGCATGCAGCAGTGATACAGTAAGACCACAGGGCTGGGCAGGGTCACACAGTAAGGTGGATGCCAACAATTGAGCCTAACACTGGCAGCTGTGTTCCCACTCTTCCATTCCCCACGTCCCCCTCCCTCATCCTGAGTTCTACACTACCAACACTCTTAGTCACTTGTCCTTCCCTTAGCCTAGGCCACAGGGACAGGTGTCATGCTACCCACCAATACCCCAGTTACAGGATTAACAGGGTGGTGGGATAGATGACAACTGCCTCCAATTCCCAGTAGCCTGGACACAGGGCTGCAGGGTGTGAGCTCAGGCAGAGTGAGACAAGATATGAAAAAAGATACAAAACAAGACACCTAACCTGTTTCGGAGTCTTCGCTGTCAGAGGAGCTGGACTCGCTGGTGCTCTCTGACTCTGAGGAAGAGAAACCCTTCATCTTGGAGGAGCCAGCGATCACATCCACTTTCTCTGCTACAATCAAAGCAATAGGGACAGTGTCAGGCAGGACCCTGAGCCAGGAAATGGCTATTAGCCAAAAGCATACCCATGCCCAGAGGAGTTAGAACTAGCAAGGCAGGAGGCTGCTCTGGTAACTAGCTTCAATCACCCTAGACGCTGACCAGGCCCACATTCACTATTAACCTAGTGCAACCCAGCTAAACACTGGGGCTAGGCTGGAATTTCAAGATCTTCCAATCTTTTGGAATAACTTCTCAAGGATTCAAAGTTATTCCCCTAAACATAGACACTGGTTCATATGGGCTCTCTCAACTACTTATCTAGCAGTAGGTAAAGATCCAGAAAGGATATATGATGCCACAGACAAATAGAGAGACAAGGAAAGAGCTGAGAGAGGGGGATGAGGCGGGGATGGGAGGGGACTCCCAGCACAGCTATGTGTAGTACAGACTGGAGTGGCATTGTGTGGCAAACCTAGAGAGGGACCAAGGATCCAAGGACTCATTCTGAGATAGGGGCAAAAGCTGTATATAATGCCCTCATGTAGATCTTAAGTCCTCTTTGGTACAGAGTGTCAAGACAAAGATCACAAAAAAGATAAAAAAAGATGCTGCTGTAGAGGGTGTTACACTGAGTTAAGAGCCGGACAGCCCAAGCAGGCATGGTACCCAACTCACATCTTTTCTGCCATGGCCTAGCTCAAGGATAGCCTAGCCATCCAGGGCTAAGGAGGAGGATTAGGTCAGAACAAAGTGTAGGTGAGTGAGTATGGCCATTGACAGAGAGTGAAGTTCAACTTCACAATTCTCATATTTCTATGTTGAGGACAGAGATTTTATAATCCAAACAAAAGCTAGCACAGAAAGGGGTAGGTTCAGAAGGTCAATTGTGGATGCCCACAGGCCTAAGTGAAAGGGCACCAAGGTGAGGCCCAGGGTCCAAAAGTCCTCTACATTGGGACTGGGAATAACCCGCCTCTGGGCCCAAGGGCACCTTGAGGTTTCCTCTTCTTGCGCAGACAGGAAGTGACATAGCGCTCCAGTTCTCGCAGGGTAGATGGCTTCAGGGTCTCAAAGTCAATCTCAATCTCGTCAGGATTGGAATTCTTGAGTGATGGCTCCCTGGACTGGATGATGTGTACCACTCGGCCCAATTTCTCGCCTGGGAGCTTGTTGATGTCCAGGCTGAGCTGCCGCTTTTCCTCGTATGACATGGGCTTACATTTATCCTCTTCCTCAGATTCATAGGCAGGTGGAGGCTTGCTTTTCATTGGCGCTGGCTCCTTCTTGCTATAGAGAGATTCAAGGATTCAAATGTTAAGAAGGGAGGGTTCCTAGGGTAGCACAGAAACACCTAGCTCCTCCACCTGTGCCCCAATTTGAGTGGGAGGTGAGGGGCACGCAGAGGCCTTATCACATCCCCTTTTTGTTAGTCTTCCGATGCCAACCACACTAAGGTACTTATATCCTCCCTCTCACCCAATAGGATGAGTACCCAACACTCATTCTATTCCAAGGGTCCCTTTCTCCCTACCCAGGCAGAAGAGGTTGTGTGTGTGTGGCGGGGTATACAGACCTCAAGGTGCTGTTGCTGTTATTTTTCTTTGTCTTTTTAGGAGGAAGTTCCTTAGCTTTGTTTTTCTTATTCTCCTCTACTTCCTCTTTCTTTTTGTGCTTTTCTTTTTTCTTTTCCTTCTTGTCTTTCTCCTTTTTCTTTGGTTTATTCTGCTGGGGCTGCGAGAGGGCTGCAAGCTGCTCGTGCACGGCTTTGAGCTGTGAACCAGACAGACAATACATTTCACCAATCACCCTGAATGGACCCCCCCCCCCCCCGGTCAAGGTTCAAAGATGAGGGAAGTAGGTGGCAGGAGGGCAGGAAGGCAGACATGTGGCACCAAGGGCATCACAAAAGGTTTTGCAGAGAAAGAGCAGTCAGGAAGCCCCAGTAGAGAGGGACATTCTGATCCTGGCTCAGTTTCTCCTTCCTGCAACCACAGAATCTAGATGCCTTGCTTCAATGCAGAGAATGGCCCTGCATTGCCAATGCCCTCCTCCCCCAATGCCAATATGTGGGATTAACAAATAGGAGATCTGACAAGAGGGGGAAATATTGGTCCAAAGATCTCTTCTGAAGACCTGTAGTGAGGCTACTCTCTGTGATCCATGGATCTAGAAAGAGTGGGAGTGGAGCCAGCCCATCACTTACCTGCTCCTGGAGCTCGGCCAGACGCTGGGCCCGCTCCTCCTCAGAATCATCAGTGGAGCTGTCACTGTCTGTGGAGCTATCACTGCTGCTGTCGCTGGACGAGGGTGGGGCCACAACCTTAGTTGGGGGTGGTACTGCCGGGGAGGACACTGCCACCACAGGTTCCTCGGGCTCATCTGGCATCTTGGCAAAGCGCATCTCGAACACATCCTGGGGGGAAGCCATGCCCATGAGTGGGCCGTGGCCCAGTATCACCATGAGGAGCAAAGAGGGCTGGACTGATGGAAAGCCCCCTCCCAGTTCTCCCAATATGCCTCTCTCAAATCTCACTTTGAAGAGAAAGGTGCTCTGATGTGGCCTGGTATCCACTCCCCAGGAAGCAATCAGCCGGCTGAGGACAGCAGTGGGCTGAAGGCAAGGCCCACAGAAAGTGTGCCCTGAGGTTCTGCACATTCCATGGGAACCTTCTGAAGGCCAAGCTGGCTTCTGGACACTGGACCCAACAGTAAACACAGTAGGAGGTGCTGTCCACCTCCAGTCCACATTCCGTCAAGGAGAGGGTGTAGTCTGCAGTTTCAAAGAGAGCAGTTCAGGCAGAGGCAATAGCATGTGCAAAGGTTCCAAGGTGGGACTGTGCCCAGCAAAGAACACACAATTAGTGAGGAAGCAGAGTCCTGGCTGCATCAGACACAAGTCTGTGCCTACTCCCCATTCCTCACATTGCCTCTGGGGCAGACAACAGAACAGAGATCCAGGCCATGGGGCACGGGTGTCTCCAGGGTATGCCACGCAAAGTGAGGAAGACAAGATAGTGGACAGGGGACAAGTTACATGGTAGGAAGACAGCCCTGAGAAATATAAATTCAACTCTAGGATCCAGGAGTTAAATGAAACTGTGGGGAGTCACAAATAAATCCTAGAGCAGGTATGAGAGTAAAATAAGACATACAGAAAGGATGTTGACCAGAGACTATCACTGCCTGGACTGTTTGGGGAATGAATGGGGTTCAAGACAGGAAAAGAAAGCTTTTCACAATAAAGTGGAGGACCTAACAGTGAGCAGACCCTGTGTGACCAGAATATCTCAACTGGCTTACATCGAGTACTCAGAGAAGAGCCAGGACTGTTGCCCAGAAACAGGCTAGAGAAGTGAGCCTGAGAAAATGTCAGGATCCTATGAAGGGAGGAGTGGCAGGTAGACTAAAGCACTGAGAGGTGACCATTTATCAAGTGGCAGCAGCCAGGGAGCACCACCCTGTCACAAAGACATTCCATTCCCTGTCCTTCCTTCAGGCCATAGCATTTTAGAAATGAAGGCAGTAGCACCTATGCCTCCAAGATCCTAAAATCAAAATGCAAGAAATAGACTAAGCAGGACTGGCTGGAAAGGCATTACAAGGCCTACAGTAAGGGACTTGCCAGCTTCCTGGTCATACCCAACTGCATAAACATCATCTTCCAATCTGCTCCAGTCCCAGTTGGGGGCATCAGGGAAACACATTCAGCTCTAGAGCAGTGAAACCTTGCTATTGCAGCAAGCCTTCCCAAGTGGCCAAAACCAACTTGAACCTGCTCTATGGTAAAGAGGAATGATGTGGATCCTTCTCTAAAGGGACAGACAATTTGCTGTGGAAGGCCTTTAAGTGCTCAGGTGATGCTGAACCCAGAGGATCTGAGACCTATTCAGGAAAGGGCAGCTGAGACGGAGATCCGGCAGGATGGCACCAACATGGGGTCAGGCAAGAGGCCAGCAAACTCAACGAGTTGTTCCCAAGGGAAGTGGCTCCTGAAGGATGGTGACAAAAAATGAACAGCACCAACAACCATACCCACTCGAAAACCAGCAGCATCTCTGCAGATGTGCCAGAATCTCTAGTCCACTTTGAGAATCTGGGTTGCATGTGACTTTCCAGCATCCGCAAAGCACAACAGTATTAGATAAGCATCTCCCCCTCCTCTCACTAGAATAGTGAACAGCACCGCCTAACTGGATGGCATCAAATTCATGGGGGAAACATGTCCTCATTCTCTTTAGTGAAACTTATGCTGGGGGAATTTTATGACCAAAGACCACCCTCCCACGCCTTCTGGCAAAACAGCCAATAGTAGAGGCCTCCCTGGTGACCTACGGTTAAAATCTCAGCGCTATAACCTCCATGGCCTCATTAATCCACATACTGCACAAGTAGACCTCTCCTGTCTTTGCCTGCTGTTCCCTTTATCAGTGTATTCGAGTAAACTTCACTCTTGTCTCCTGTGAATCCTTTCACCCTCAGCACCTCTGGCCTATTCCCCAAATTTTGTATGCCCCTCCCCTCAAAATCTGAAAAATCCTTATTATTTAAAAAACAAAACAAAAACCCAGTCAGTAGTGAAGCACAGCTAGAGCTCCTTGGGTGAAGCCCTTTGGATAAAATTTGGCTCCCCCTTAATGACAATCCCAGATATTGCCTGAACCCTGGTCCAGAAAGGGGCAGGGAACCCAAGTGGAGGGAGGCTGCCAGGTGCTGGGGGTGCAGCCATGAAGGAAAGAGATGCAGACACACATACCTCAAAAACTTCCTATCACTGGGATTTAACTCAGGATTGCAATGCACTTTTCAGCTTCATGTTTTACTATACGAAAATGACTGCATACCACCTTCAGTATGCATGTTTTCTCAAAATTAAACTGACAATCCACTCAGGTACCAAACTTCCAAAATACTTTTCACTTCACAACAGAGCTCAGAGTGTAGAGTAGCAGTACCAACAGTAGTTCTGTGCCCACTAGCTGCATCGGGACACTCAGTTCAAGCTGCCTTCAATGTCTGAAGGAAGCCTCAAGTGTAGAGGCGCCTGAACGTTTTGTGAGTACAGCTATCAGGCACTAGATACAGCTTTTCTGAAGCCCTGGAGTTTAGAGGTTGAAGAAGAAAACAAAGTGAGGTGATCCTGTTCCACCTGACTCTCCAGGTAAGTCCCACCCTCTAGTCACAGTATAGTCAAGAAAATATTGATCCCAACAAATCTCATGGAAGCAAAAAGAACAGGGGCCTTGTTCATCCCTCTTCCCACTGGGGTAAAACAGGATGCCACAAACACAGCAACTGCCTTCCATACGAGAAGCTCATACAGGAAGCCCTTCCTGTCAACTTTGCTGTTAAAACAGAGACACCTAGCAACGATACTTTCGGTAATACGGCAACCCACCCTGAAGTAGGCAAAATGGTCTGAGATTAACAGCAACCTGTGTTGAGGGACCCACACTGACACTGCTCCACATGAAGTGGACCCCTGTCGAGCTCAGCCTGCCTGCGGAGGAACCAATTTGTTTAGAAGCACAAAGTAACAATCTTTGGTGCTGGCAGTGAAGTTGCTTTAACTTGTTTGCATGAGGGTAAACAAAGGGCAGGGATCTCAGTTCTCAAAAAGAGGCAGCGGAGGGCAGAGTGTGGAGGGTGAGGGTGTGGCCTGTGGGCCTAAGGTACAGATCCAAGTGCACAATGGCCACCTGGCTGCCATGTCTAAGAACTGCAGCAAAATTATAAAGCCTGAAACCCCAAAGGGAAATGCACAAGTAAACTCAAAGGTAGCCTCAAATGAAGAGATAAGGCATATTTCCTGCCAACTCAGAAAATTGGCAGTAAATGAGAACGGGCTGGGGTAGAAAGTAACATTAAGTGAAATCCAAGCACAAGGTCCATACTAAATATTTTCCTGCCACAAGTTTCAGGACATACTCTTTGAACGAAAAAGATTCCTTTACCCCTATATGGGCCAAAACAGGGATGACTATGTGGGGCTAACAAAGCTGGGAGGTCGGGTACAGGCCACCTTCTGTCTGGGACAGACCCAAAGGCTTTGCTAATTCCTTACCTCTGTCTGGAAAACACATCACAGAAGGCGGGGAAAAGCTAAATGTGAGGAAATCAAGAGTCTGTCCAGGCAGAATACATGAACTGGGCCTGAGATCTAAACATAGCACATGTTCCTCCTAATGGCAGAGATCCCATCCATAGCCTACTCTGACCCTAAAGCAGAAGCAGAAGTTAACTCAGGATCTGGCGGGGGGTGGG